GTAAGTAGACAATTCATTTCCCTGGATGTCTGGTTTCTCACCGATGGGAGAAAACCTCTACTCTTCCACACTTTTACAGCATGGCAGACCGACCCCCCAACCCACGTTCAGTATAAGTGTAAATACCCACTTTAAAACTGGAAGCCAGTGTAAATGCTCACCTCATAGGAAGACGCAAGCCTCAAACCTCATGGAGATCGGCAGGTGCACAATGCACTTCATATTTCTCTGTATGTCCCTTGTGCAAAATCCACTGAGTCACCATCAGAGACAATGTTATGTTTATTTGGGGGGGAAGAAAGGATTTTGAATGGTGTTACCATAAAGAATAAATGTTTAAAGAAGGCTCACCCTGATTTGACCATTATACAGTGTGCACGTGCATAGATACATCCCATACTGAAATGTCATGACGTGCAGTGTGTACAAAATATCAGTTTGAAAGAAGGAGCAGAAACGGATTTGCAGGTAACATAGAGGCAGGTGCAATGCCTTCTGAAACTGCAGAGCCACTGTGCTCCCTGCCTGCCTTAGAACTGGGAACAGAGCAGGTGGGTTCAGAACGTTAGACCCATTAGAAAAACAGAATCAGAAAAGCTCTGCACCGCCTGAACGCCAACTTCCTACTTTTCTTCTGCATCCTTAGCCCTTGGAAATTGTGATTCTATTTCTGCTTCTAGAAATTAAAGTCTACAGAAATTTTCCTTTCTATTCTTTCATGTCTGGATTTTTTCATTTGATGTGGTGTCGTCTTCAAGGTTCATCCATGCTGCAGCATCTGACAGAAGTCCCTTCCTTTTAAAGACTGAATAATATTCCACTGTATACATACCACATTTTGTGTATCTTTTTGGCCAGTGATGGGCAACCCTTTTGACTTTTGCGAAAGATGCTGCTGTGAACATGGGTTTAGCAATATCTGTCCAAGTCTCTCCTTTTATTTCTTTTGGGCATATACTGTGGAATGGATTGTTGGGCTGTATGGTAAGTCTGTTTAACTTTCTGAGCAATTGTCATTCTGTACACTGCTCTCTCTAGTCACTGTAGACCTTGCTATTCCCACCACTGGTGTACAAAGCCACACCTTTGTACATTCTTGGCAATACTTGTTACTTGTTCTTAAATAACATGCACCTTGTGGTTGGAGAGATGGTTCATCAGTTAAGAGCACTGTCTGCTCTTGCAGAGTCCAGAAGAGGGCATTGGAGTCCCTGGAACTCACGTTACAGATGGTTGTTAGCCACCATGTGGGTGATAAGAACTAAACCCTGGTCTTCTGCAAGAACAGCCACTGCTCTTAACTGCTGGGCCATCTCTCCAGTTCTCCAAATGTCTATTTTTTAAAACATTAAAAAAAATTTTATTTATAATTTTTATGTGTATGAGTGTATTGCCTGCATGTATGTGAGTATATCCATGTCATGTAATGCCACAGGGGTCAGAAGAGGGCTTCAGATTCCCCTGAAACTAGAGTTAAGGATGGTTCACAGCCTCCATGTGGGTGCTGGGAATCGAACCCAGGTCCTCTGCAAGACCAGTCAGTGCTCTTAACTGCTGAACCATCTCTCCAGCCCCTCAAATGTCTATTTTTAAAATTAACTTCTGGAAGTTAATATGTTGGGGGACACTGCCATTAAGGTCGTAGTCCACCATGTCCGGACAGCTCTCCAAGCTCGGCTCAAAATGGAGGACTCCCTTTCTCAGCAGGGCCTTCCTACTCTCTGCCTGACCTTATTTGGAAAGTGTCTCCAAGCACAGATGCCTGACCTTATTTGGAACATGACCTTTGCTGCCCCTGGTTTTCACATATGATAATTAGGCATTGCACTACAGCCAGTCAATCCCACCTCCCCTTTCTACATGATAGGGTCCTCCTGCCACATGTAAATAAAGCAGACTATGAACACCTATGAGGCAAAGCTTTGGCTGCCATCCTCACCCTATATATTCCTCCAACTCCTCTAAATAAACTAGCTGTCTCACTGAAGCTGACTCCCGGAAGGTCTTTCCATCATACTCACAGCAGTCCTGACCCTGTTAGTCGCTTCTGCTCCCTTTGTTCTCGCCGATCAGTGGCCAACGACCCATGAGGGGAGAGAGACCCACATTAATACACAAAAATCATTTAATGGATTTCAAGTAGTGTTTCAGTGCTTGTATATCATGCATATTATTCAAATCAAGTTAAAACATAACCTTTTCTTCTTGAAACATTTTTAATTTCTTTTTGTGGAAACTTTGAAAATCCTTGTGATGAGCTTTTATTATTATTTTTTTAAGTTTTATTTATTGGTTGGTGTGGGGGGGCATACATGCTGTGGCATGGCATGTGGAGGTCAGAGGACAGCTGTGAAGAGTTAGTTTTCTCTTTACACTTTTATGTGGGTTCTGGGACTTGAACTCAAGTCACCAGACTTATGTGGCAAGTGCCTTTTCCCACTTGGTCACCGCCAGTCCAGTTCTTATGTTCATCATGTCTTTCCCTCTCGCAATTCTGGGTTTGGTTGGCTCTTGCTTTTCCAAGTCTTTGGGGTGCTTCACTAAGTTCTCTATTTGAGGTTGTCTGTTACGTAGGTGGCCCTAGCCATACACCCGCATCTCGTACAGCTTTTTCTTTGTGTTTCATGAAATTCTTTGTATGTGCACATGTCTGTGTGTAGGGATGAACTTGCTCATGTGTGTACATGTAGAGGCCAGAGGTTGATGCCGAGTGTCCTCCTATGTCGCTCTTCACTTTATTTTTTTTTTGAGATAGAGTCTCTCTCTGAATCTGGAGTTTGCTGTTTTGGCTAGCCTGTCTGACCAATGAGCCCCCAGGGCTACCTGCCTTTGCCCCAGCAGCCCCGGGGTTACAAATGTATATTGCTAAGCCCTTTTTGCATGGGTGCTGGGTATCCAAACTCAGTTCCTCATACTTGCACAGCAAGCACTTTACTCACAGAGCCATCTCCCCAGGCCCTTCATGAAATTCTTTAATTTCTCTCTTTAAAAAAATTTATTATATTTATGTGTATGAGTGTGTGTAAGGACACCCATGTTGTACAATGCTTTGGAGGTCAGAAGAAGGCATCAGATTCCCTGGAATTGGAGTTGTGGATGGTGGTAAGAATTGAACCTGGGTCCTCTGCAAGAGCAGCCAGTGCTCTTAACCACTGAGCTGTCCCTTCAGCCCCAAATTTTTCTCTTTTGACCCATTGATCATTCAGGAACACATATTATTTTATTTCCATGTGTTTGTATAACTTCTGAAGTTCCTCTTATTAATTGCCAGTCTTCTTACATTGTGGTCAGAGACCATACGTATTATGGTTTTGAGGTTTTGCATTTGTTGAGACTTTTTGTGGCCTCTTATATGGTCTATGCTGGAGGATGTCCATGTGTTGATGTGAACAGTGGGCACTCTATCCCTGTAGACCACAGAGCTGGGTAAGTGTTGGTTGGGGCCATTGATTTGTACCATAGTTTAGCTCCACTATTTTTTTTTGTTGATTTTTCTACCTGGATTGTCTATCTATTGATGAAAGAGAGGTGAAGTTCCCAGTTAGTATGGTATTGAGGTTTATCCCTTTGGACCTAATATTGCTTTATATACTTGGGTACTCTAGTAAGGAGTTTTAATTTTCTCACATTTTCATAATGGTATTTAATCAGTCTCTTCTTTCTAATAAAGGAATTTCTAGTAAAGACACATGTCTAAAGATCACTTATTATAGCTATTGACCATCTTGTTGCTAGGGCCACTCAATTCATTCTAATTTAGCTCATATTAAGTGTGAGCTGGCTACATTTGCTTGTGTTTCTTTCTGCAAAGTAGGCCTACCTTGTTGTGAGTATTGCTGGAACATCTCCCTCACTCACACAGCACCTCCAGCTGAGACATGTTATGTGTGTCTTTCTTCTGCTTGGTTAACCTTGGTGCCCACCACCCTGTTTAGTTCACTGTTGATAGCCCTGGCCCGTTTCCAAAACTGACAGAGATATGCCCTGCTGCAGTGATCTCTACTCAATCGCCTGGGACACAGCCCTCAGTGCTCTTCCACATACCAATCATGAGGCCTTACTTCATGACCATTACTGTCCTTCTGATCCTGGTTGAGAAGACTCCAGGTAGCTCAGGACTCTGAAGTTCTGGGGTCTTGAATGCACTATTGGAGCCTTGGTGACCTCGGAGGAAATCATGTAGAATGAGCAATACTTTTTAAAGCCTATCCTGACCTCAAGATGAATCCTACCCCACAGGATCATCCAGATCAAGATCTCCCCAATTCTTCTCTGTCAAGGCAAATTTAAGGTTGCTGTCCTTTTGTTCCTGGCATAGCAGAGATTCAGGCATGAAGTGCTGTAGGCAGTGGTGTAATTGGAATGGGAGCTTGATCCATGGATTGGGTGTGAGAGGTTGGGTACAAGCTGGAGAGCTGTAGGAGGAAGGATGTTTGATGTGGAATAGTGAGCTGTGGGGAGGCTGTAGGACTTAGAGACAAGAATATTGGGATGTGAGTGGCATTGAGCGTCAGGTAAGCAGTTCTGCTGTAGAACTGGGCTTGGCTGAGGTGTTAGTGTGGTCTGGAGAGTGAGTGGTGCTGGTTGGAGCTGGGAAAAGTTTAGTAAAACTGGGGATTGGGATAGAGATGGGCCTGTGGTTGGACTCTGCTAGATCAATGAAGAGGATCCACGCTGTGAACTGGGGTTGAATAGCTTTTGTTGTGCTGTGTTTGTGTTAGGTTTTGTAACTGGGACTTGAGTGGTTATCAGAATGTGTACGGGTTGATTGCAGTTAAGTGTTCAGCCCCAGTGGGTGCCTCATTCAGCTCAGGTGTGTTTATCTGGGCTCAGCCTAGGTATTGGTCAATTCTTAAGCTTGAGTAAGACCACTGGATTCATCATAGCAGGGCAGTAGTTATTGATGGGGAGAGCTATGGTTTGCAGATATTTTGTTGATAACTGTTAGGTGCTTTTTCATTTTGTTGGTCATTTCCTTTACTGTGCAGTAGGTTTTACCTTCTATTTTTGCTTCTGTGCCTGTATTTTTTAGCTCAAAGCCAATAAACTTGCTGAGGTCAGTGCTTTTCTCTTTTCAGCTGAGAGTCTTATGGTTTCAAGCCTTTGATTTAAATCATTCATCCATTTTGAGTTCATTTTTGTATGTAACATAAGGGTCTAATTTCATTCTTTTGTGTGTAGATATCCAATTTTCCCAATACCATTTACTGAAGAGATATCCTTTAATGAATAAATGCTCAAAATATTCTGTAGAGCGAATATTTTTACCCTGTGCATATTTTAAAGAGTTAAGGAAGATTTTTCATGCAAGATTTGATGGTAAACCAAAAATAGCAATTAAATAGGGGATGAGAGGAAACTTTTGATGTGAAGGTGATGATGATGGTTTCATGGGCGTGTTCCTAGCTCCAAACTCAAGATGAATGCGTTAAATATGTGCAGCCTATTGTGAATTAACAAAACCCCAATAAAGTGGCTTTAAAAAATAAATGGGAAGAGAAAACACTGGATGAAACATACTCAGTATTATATTCTAATTTGGGTTTGAGTGTGCATTTCAGTGACACTGAACAGCTTAGATAGGCACTAGAGAGACTGGACTGTTTTCCAAGTGTCCCATCAAGTGCTGACATTTGGAGAGACCTGGATGCAGTCTCAGCCTGGCCCTGTAGGAAACCGGGGCAGTTTTCTTTGTTGTGAGTAAATTCAGTCACTGCTCCTGGAGTTTTCTTCCTCTTCTTTAACATTGTTTCTGTCCAGTTTACATTGATTTCATGTTCTCCTTCCCAGTTATTTCCCGCTCCTTTCATGCACTTTACCAGGAGACACTTGTTCTCGTGTCCAGTAAAGTGCATGTTGGATCCATGGTGGAAACCTCAGGTGGGCTTGTGAGAAACAATATTTGAGGACAGCACTCCATGCTTCAAAGGCCGTGCAAGGTGCAAGAGCTTGGCTATTTTCACCTGGCAGGCTCAGGAGATGTTCCAGACAACCTTTCCACCAGAATAATCAAAATTATTTTTTTCTTTTATTGCCCCAAGCATGAGCATATCTAATTGAACTGTTTGGAGCCAAGACTCTCCATCTTTAAGCTGGTATGTTCCTGGTGTTTGAGTGCTTTGCATAGAGTGGATTTTAATAAATGTTTGTTGAATGAATGCATAAATGACTTACAGCCAATGTATATGGATAAGAAGAACCTTAGGAGTTGGATGAGGGACAGCCATGTTTGGGCACACAGGTGTCAGAGCAATGATGTAGTATATTGATGGGGTCCTGACAGAGTTGTTAGAAAGGGTCCAGAGTAGGGCTGAGGAAATGCCACAGTGGTTAAGAGGATGAACTGCTCTTGCAGAGGACTCAAGTTCAGTTCCCAGCATCCATGACAGGTGGCTCACAAGTGCCTATAACTCTAGCTCCAGGGGCTCCAGTGCCCTCCTCTGGACTCTTCAGGTACTCATATGCCCATGCACAAATCCACACAGAGACACACATATACACATAATTAAAAATAAATATTTTTAAATTTTATTTATTTTGAGTGTATGAGTGTTATGTCTGCATGTGTGTAGGTGCACCTGTGTGTGCAGTGCCCACAGAGGTCAGAAGAGGGTGTTGGATCCCCTGGAACTGGAGTTATGGATGTTGTTAGCTGCCATGAGGGTGCTAGGAATCGAACCCAGGTCTTCTGCAAGACCAGCCAATGTTCTTAACTGCTGAGCCATCTCTCCAGCCCCAAAACAAATAAGGAGTCTAGATCATATCTTTCTCTTTAAAAAAGATTTTATTTTACTTTTGTGTGTGTGTGTGTGTGTGTGTGTGTGTGTATGCTTACATGTGTGCAGGCACCCACAGAACCCAGAAGAAGGTGCCAGATCCCTTGAAGCTGTAATTACAGGTGATTGTAAGTCACCCAAAGTGGGTGCTGGGAACTGAACTCAGGCCCTCTGCAAGAGCAGCATGTGCTCTTAAGCCCTGGGTCATCTCTCTAGCTCCTTATTTTTTACTTTTTGATTTATGACATTTTAATTTTCTCTTAAAACATTTCCATGGGCACTGTCTGTAGTTGAACTTGAGGAGTCCCTACAGGGTGAGGAGTCCCTACAGAGTTAGGCTCTCCTTTCAGCAGGGGTCCATGAGGATTTCTTGGGGTGCTCCCTGCGCTGGCCTCTCCTGAGAGCATACTGAATCAGCACATCTAGAGATGTGTGAGTCTACTCCACAGTTTTCCAGATTACACACTATGATATCTCTTTATCCCCCTTCATAAACATAGTTGAGACTTTCCTGATCTGCAAATTCCCCCTTCTGTATCTGTCACGTGGGGAGACTAGAGTCAGAGGGTTGAGACGTTACATTGTGCAGAGGCTCAGGGGGAATGCTGGACTCCCAGAGCAGTCTCCTGTGATCCCAGTTGAAGATGGAGAGATCATCAGAGGCGATTTGAAAGTGAAAGGGTTGTGAACGTCCGTGGTGATGCAGGGCAGCATTGGGTAGAAAAGCGCAGGAGTGAGAGTCTGTGTGTGTCTGTGAGAAAACCTTTATTTCGAGCACTGCTTATTTACTTTTGGAACCACTCCATGTAGAATCTTCTTGGGGTTTCCGTGTGCAGAGAATAAGGACAAGGCAGCTTGGCTAACCTTTGTCCCTGGTATCTGAGTCCCCAGCCGCCACCCTCTGGTGATGATAGAGAACTGGGAGTTCTGACCTCCACCCAGGGTGTTAGGGAGGGAGGGAAAGTCTTCACTTTTGGTTCGTAATTTCCTTCACTGTGCAGAGGCTTTACACTTTTTTATTACGTGTGTGTGTGTCCATGTGTGAATACACACATCATATGGCAATTAGAGGACAATTTGTGGAAATCAGTCCTTTCCTTCTACCATGTGGGTCCCGAGGATCAAACTCAGGCTTGGTGGCAAGCCCCCTTACCCACTAAGCCACCTCGCTGGCCCCAGAAGTATTTGTTTTATTTTTTAATTAAAAAATTTTATATATGAATATTTTGCCTGCATGTATGTAAGTGCACCCATGTTGTGCAGTGCTCACAGAAGTCAGAAGAGGGTGTTGGATCCCCTGGAACTGGGATTACAGATGGCTGGTAACTGCCATGTCTGTACTGGGAATTGAACCCAGGTCTCTCCAGCCCTCCCTGCCCGCAGCATGAAGATGCAACATTGTCTACTTTTCTCATGTGCCTGGACTTTCAAGTCCCAGCAAATAAATGCAGCTGAGGATAATAGCGAGACGCTTTGCTCTGTGTTTCCATCTCAGAGTCAAGTCTGAGAAGAATTTGAGTTGACTTTTCTGTGTGGCATAAGGATCTGTTTTCATTTTTCCAGGTCAGGTGCTGCCAGGAGAGCCTAGGTGTCAGTCTGCAGAGGTCCTAGCAGATCTCTTCCTATGAGAGCAGAAGAAGGGATGGAGGGAAGGAGGGAAGGAAGGAGAGCTCCAGGGTGGAGGTAAGGAGAGAGGCAGGGCACACAGTTGGGACCCTAGTGGAGACAGAGTGCCTGGGAGCTGTTTTTCCCCTCTTCTGAGTAACCTTATCAGGTGATGATGTGGCTATCCAGTGACATCTCTATGTCACTGAGGCACTTCTCACACACACCAGGGTCCAAGTGCCATGGGAGGGCTGACACCCAGGCACTTCTCACACACACCAGGGTCCAAGAGCCGCGGGAGGGCTGACACCCAGGCACTTCTCACACACACCAGGGTCCAAGTGCCATGGGAGGGCTGACACCCAGGCACTTCTCACACACACCAGGGTCCAAGTGCCATGGGAGGGCTGACACCCAGGCACTTCTCACACACACCAGGGTCCAAGTGCCATGGGAGGGCTGACACCCAGGCACTTCTCACACACACCAGGGTCCAAGTGCCATGGGAGGGCTGACACCCAGGCACTTCTCACACACACCAGGGTCCAAGAGCCGCGGGAGGGCTGACACCCAGGCACTTCTGCTTTTCTTCTTAATTTCCCTCCTGTTCTCCATCTTCATCTCAACTTGTAAAGTTTTATCTCTTTTTATTAAAAAGTATTAAAAAGATGGCAAAGTGCTCCTTTTTCTCTGTGATGTAAATAATATCAAACTTTCTTTGCATTGCTTTAATGTTTAATAATGCTTAATTGATTATTGTTTGCATGTGTGTGTATGTGCGCATGTGCATGTATGTCATCCAGCAAATATGTGGAAGTCAGACAACAACTGTGGGAGACTGGATCTCAGGAATCAAACTCGGGTTATCAGGCTTGGCAGCAAGCAACTGTACCTGCCGGGCCATCTCATTGGCCCAAATTGTATTTATTAACAGGAGACCTGGCACCAATGCCAAGCTGAGCACACTGGACTGACTGCAGAAAGCTGTTGAAGGCCCCATCCCCACACATATGATGCAGGAAGACATTATCTACCAAACCCTTTCATAGAGAAGAAATGTGACCCAGAAAACAATCATCATGGACTTGATGTCATGTAGACCCGGAATCAAAAATTGGCTTGGTTGAGTACAAGTTATGGAAATGAGGACCAAGCGCAGTCTGTCTTTGACCCTCTGTGTCTTCATCAAACAGAAGGGGTTATAGCAGGTTTTATGAAGATTCCCTGAGGCATCACTTGAAAACTTCTGGCACATAGTGACTGCTCCTGTTCCCTTCTTTCCCATAGCTCCTTTGCTGCTGGAAGAACCAACAGGTAGATATTACTACTGGTGACCAGTACTTAGAAATGCTATTGTCAGGAATTTTGAGTGTTTTCAGGCGAGGGGTCTGCACACTCATGCACACATCTGCGTGGCTGATAAGTAGCTATCAAGATGGGCACACAGCTGGATGACTCATACATAGCAATTAAGGGCTGTAAGACATGTGGAAGGTAAGTGGGGGAGGTTCCTATAGCAAGCACACATGCATATGCTCAGCTTACATGTGAATATAGCCTCACTCCAAATGAGTTGGACACACGTGTCTATGTACCAGTGTATTATGTATGCACTGTACATCCTTTTTGGGGCCAGTGTTCAAAGACATGTGTGGAACATGCTTGTGCTCATTTCATAGCATCAAAGCATGTATGTGTGTCTTGTCTCAGATGACCTGAGCTTCAGGAATCCGCATTGCTACAGCACACCAAACATGTCCAGTATGTGCTCATGGTGACAGTCCTTGGATTCTGAACACTGAGGAAAGACATTCACACCAATGGCACTGTCTCGTGTTCAATTGCTTATTATATGCTAGATAATCTTTCTGAGCAGACCACATATGGTCATCATCACAGAAACATTAGGGATTTAGCTCTGTTATTTCTTCCGTTGTGAATGCAGGTGACTCAGCAGAGGGCCAGTTGTCTAAGGGAGTCACAACCAATCAACAGAACCCAGATCTGAGAATGTCTTGGCTCTGATTATGAGCGCATCAGGATGGTTCTCTTTCAACCTCGCTTCTGGACATCTCCAATTGCTGCTGTGTAGAAACTAAACATGCCAATGTCTCTTCCAGGTGGCCTGTTTGGGTTCCCCAGCAGCAAGAGGCAAGTGCCTTGGGTTCCATGTGAGCTTTACCAAGGCATATGCAGAAATGCCGATGGAACACGTGAAATCCAGTACTTAACCCGCCCAAACAACCAAAAACGCTGCCTGAAATTTCCCGTGAGCCAGCTTCTAACAGTGAAGGAGGAATACCGCTCCAAGTCCAACTTGTCCGTCACAAAGACTTCAGGGTGCGCTCACATTTGAGTATCACCAACATCACCCCCTCTGTAGTAATTTCTCCCACATTCCGGAATGCTTCCCCTCATAAAAATGCATCCCTTCTCATGTGTGTGTCTGTCTGTGAACTGTCATCACTGGCTGGGACAGGTTAGTCTGGGAACTGGGGAGCCATGTAACATGGGAGAATGTGCTGGCAAAAGAAAAATAAAGAAGCTGAAGCAGAAACAACCAGTAGGATATGTGGGTGGGTGTGGGGAGTCTGAGAAGGGAGGGGCTCACTTTTATGCCCTGTTCCAACACTACTCTGAAGGCTGCAGAAAGACAGTGACAACTGGGTTGAGTCTGATGACCCAGTGAGCATGTAGGGGAGGTCATGACATCTCAGTAAATCACATGACAGAGCAACAGGCCTGCCTTGGTTTCTACAGAACTAACCCTGCCTGCTTTGTGTGATGTCCTTAAGAACTGGAACTAGATGTGCAGGTGGAATTGAGGAGGAAATTTGTTGGACAAATTAGAGTAAAATGTTCTAAGCGATAAACTATTAGATATGAAATAATCAGGCTCCTCCCTGGGAGTTCTTCCCATTTTAAGGCTGGAAGTCCACTTCTGAATGTGGTGATAGGGGACAGAGAGGAGCATCTGTATATTCCACATTATTAGCACACATTTGTACTTCATGCTGTAGAAAGGAACCTGTGTAGACTCCATGTCAATATCTCAGCAAGTACATACTGCTGATGGTTTATTTGCTCTGGGTTAATGTCTAACCAGGTCCTGCCTTGGGAGGGAACACAAGGCTCAGCGGCCCTGAAGGCATGCAAAGAGAGAGAGAGAGAGAGAGAGAGAGAGAGAGAGAGAGAGAGAGAGAGAGAAAGAGAGAGATGCAAAAATGCGGAGAGAGGCACCAATACCCTGACTCTCTCAGACTAGGCTGACATCTGACTAAGGGGCAAGGCTAAACTTAAAACTGAAACTCACTTCACACCTATTTGGTATGCTGTGAAATTCTCATTGGCTTATACATATAATCCCAATATTTAATTTCTCCTTCTCTTTGGATACAAACTTCTAGAACTAGTGTTCCCCCCAAAGTTCTCAGTCTTACCTCAACACAAAATGAAATCCAACTCCTGTGTCCATCACTCCACTGATGGGTTCTGCTCACCAATGGCTTCCTAGTTGGAAACTAGCATTCTTCCCCTTCCCTTTGCCTTTAACTGGGATTCCATGGCTTTGCTCAGGCCCCTCCCCTTTAAAGCTCTTATTTGCCCTGACTTGTGGTTGCAGGTTGCTCTTTCCTAGTCATTTTTTAGTCATTTTTGGAGTTTCCTGCTGGAATTGCAGGTATGCACCACTATACCTGGCCCTAAAATTGGCTTTTACTTTGTACAGAACTTAAGAGCCTGAAAGGAAATGTAAGAAAGTTTTTATCTTTGAAATTCACTAACATTCAGCCCCATTTGTGAGACAGAAGGCAAGTGCTTGGCAGAAGCCTGGTTTCCAGGTAAGACACAGAAAGTTGGGAGTACAATAAAGAGCCGAAGAACAAATAACATCAAGTATTTGGAAGATATTATTGATCGTGGGTTCAGCGTAATGTTGAGATTTGTTTTTAGGCTTTCTATTACAGCAATACTTGGAGACGAAAATGGTTGTGGAATTCTAGGTCTAAAGCAGAGGTGCCCGTCTCTCTGGTTTCCATGTATCTTACACAAAGAAAAGTGACACGGAACCTGAAGGGTTTTCCCGTGACTGCTCAGCAGCTAGGGAACCTTGAGTAAATTCTGTATTCACCTGAGCTCCTCATGGAACCGATCGCACCACCAGAGCTCCAAACTGTACATTCGTATTCAACTCAGAGCGAAACTCCAAAGCTCAGAGCCACATCCCGAATCAGCAGTGTTATTCCCTAGTCTAGGGTTTCTCACCCACCTCAGGCTCAAAATGCTCTGGAGTGAACACCTGGAAGTCATTGTTCTACCGATTCATCTCCATATAAGCCATTACAGTGTGCTCTTAGCCCAGCTTCTAAATCATCTCAATGTAATTACAAAATCTACATTTGCATAATTAAGAGGACTTACATTCAACGTGAAAAATCTCAACTAATTAAGAAACTCTTAATTTATTAATGTCATCCCAGCAGAGCTTCAGACAGCAGAGCATCTTTGAACAATTCCCCCTTCACTGGATTATTTAAAAGCTTTGTAGAGGTAGGAATTAATTTATTAGAACCTCGGTGTCAAATGAAGAAACCCTTTTTAAAAATGAGATTAAAAAGAGCTACCCTATAATGGGGGATATTGCCCCTTTGAGACATCATAGGCTAACAACAACAAAATCCTCAATGCGAGGAATGGATTCCCTCTCTAGCAACTGTTGACCAGGGGTCCCATAGACCCCTCATGGAATACTGGTCATTGTTCCTCTTCTTGGTTAACCACCAGAACTGGATGGTAAGACCCTATTGCTGAAGACACTATATACATGAGCTATAGAACAAACAAGGAAAAATCAAGCTGGTGCTGACTTCAGAGCCTCATATCTACTAGGTAGTATCCACAGTACTGGAAGGTGCTATGCATGTTGCCTGAAGTAAAACATAATCATCAACCTTACCCAACTGTGAATCCTGTGAACTATAACAACTGGCCTGACAAGATATGCTCACCAGTATGATAGTGGTACAAATATTATGGGAGTAACCAACCACTACTCTCTATTTGGATTTAAGGTCTGCTTCATAGGATGGAGCCCATACCTGACACTGATATCAGGCTTAGGAACCTGAGGCGAGACAGGTCACAGGACATAGGAGAGAGCCTAATGCAACTTTTCTACTAAATAGTTATCCTAGTAAACCAATTCCTAATGACTTACTGTTATACTCACAGATTAATGCATCTCTCAACTCTCACCAGAGAAATTTCCTTATATAGCAGATGGTGCTTAACACAGAAACCCACACCTGGCCCATGTGCAGAGAACAAGAGGTTGCTGGGTGCTTATCCCTGAATAGAATGCCTATATCAAACTTCTGCCTCCTAAGGCTCAGGGATTATTGTGGAAGAGAGGGTGGAAAGATTGTAGGAGCCAGAGGTGATGGATGACCACAGGGAAGCAATTTTCCAGATAACTGGTCAGTTACTCATATAAACTCATAGCACTGGTGACAGCATGCACGAGTCCCATACAAGCTCAAACCACACAAAATCCAAGCATAGTTATGAGGAATTGGGTAAGAAACCCCAACCCAACCTAAGGAAATTTTGGCAACCAATGACTTCTGGGAGGGGGAGAGACAGTCTCTTTCAGGGATGGGACTCTTGGTAGGTCAACTGGATCCATATACTGAAGGACATTTGGAAACACAAAGTAGACTCTACAGGCCTATTGTGTATATAATAGAGCACATTAAATTGACTGGGGAAAATAAGAGGAGGTACAGATAGGAGAGGGAGTCTAAATATCAAATTATAATGCATGAAAATTGCAAAAATTCAATTAAAATGTTTTAAAAAGAATTTTTTTTTAAGAGTCAAGGGAGCTGGAGAGATTGCTCAGTGATTAAGAGCATTGGCTGCTCTTTCAGAGGACCCGGGTTCAGTTCCTAGCACCCACATGACAGCTAACAACTCCAGTTCCAGGGGAATCTGAAGCCCTCTTCTGACCTCCATAGTCACTGCACGACATGGGTGTACTTACATAAGTGCAGGCAATACACTCATACACATAAAATAAAAATAATAAATAAAATGTTTCTAAATGAGTTAAGCAAACTATTTCCATAGATAACACTGCACAGAGCAGAATGGAATTGACCCAAGTCCACTTGAATTCCATCTGATAGAATGGTTATCTTGAATGGTGTTGCCTTTTACCATGTCAGACAGATGGGCTTTCATGGTTACACCCCCTCAAAAGGGGGTTTGCTCTTTACTCTCAGATGTGGCCAAGTATGGGGTGTCTTTGGGGGTCTGCCTCCAGTTTTACCTAACCTTGTAACCAAGGCCACCACATGCTTTGAGATCACTGAATACTGTGTACTCAATCTGCCTTTCTACTGTGTAATCAGCTTGTTTAAATTTAACTCGCTTTTAACAAAATAATGTAAACAATCCTTTAAAATTTATTTTTATTTGTTAATTTTTACTCTCATGTCTACAAGTGCTTTGCCTGCCTGTGCGTAAGTGCACCATGCGTGTGCAATGACCACAGAGGCCAGAAGAGGGCATCAGATTCTCTTGTAACTGGAATTATGGATCATTGTTAGCCACCATGCTAGGAATTGAACTCAGGACCTCGGGAAGAGCAGCCAGTGCTCTTAACCACTGAACCATCTTTCCAGTCCTAGTGTAAACAATCTTAGTAGGCTTTGTTCGTCCCATGTTTGCTTTGCTATTGCTGTCATAAAACACTGACCAAACCATTTGGGGAAGAAAGAGTTTATTCATCTTACAGCTCGCAATCCATGTTCTAGGGCAGCTAATGCAGGAACCTGGAGGCAGGAACTGAAGCAGAAACCATGGAGGAACGCTGCTTACTGGCTTGCTACCCAAGGCTTGCTCAGATAATTCTCTTATACTGGCCCACCTACCTAGGGATGGCACAGTCCATAGTGGGCTAGGCCTCCTACATCAATTAGAAATCAAGAGAATTCCCCATATATAGGCCCACAGGCCATTCTGATGGAAGAAATTCCTCAACTGAGGGTCCCTCTTCCCAGGTATCTCTAGTTTGTGCCAAACTGACAAAAACTAACCAGTACACCATGAAATCAACTTTTACAAACTAAGCGAAACATATAGCTTTAATTAAACTACATTCTGTATTTCTCCTTTGTGACCCTTCCATGCCCTGACCCAGAATAAGGTATGTGTGTGTTAACATCACTGAAAGCACTGATATTAGAAACCATGAATTACCCACAATGCATGTTGCAAACAACATGTGGACATAGGTTGACATGTTGGGGTTTGTGCACTGTTCTAGGTCAGTAGGGGTCAGAAAGAACAACTTCT